TGTAATTTTCAGTATTAACACTTTTTTTTTTTCAGAATATTTTTTCAAAAGGCTGTTGGATGCAGAACTCAAGGACAGTCTTCGTATTCTAAGGTTTTCTGCAGAACTCAAATATCAGGCAGATCAAGGCAGACTGCAGAGTGTTGACAGCAAAGAGGTGATGTCTGCAAAGAAACACACTCAGGCCGGCATAGGAGGCTTTCACCCCAGGTTTGCAGCAAAGCAGCTGTGTGATCTTGGGTCTCATGATGTCGTAGAATTCAGATTCTTCAGCCAACTTGGTAAAGTGAGAATCAAACAAGGGGCTGGAGAGATGGCCCAGCAGCTTGGAGCACTTGCTACTCTTGCAGAGGACCCAAGTTCACTTCCCAGCACTGACACCAGGCAGCTTACAACTGTCTGTCATTTTATCTCCAGGTGATCCTATACCCTCTTCTGGCCTCCATGGGCACTGCACATATGTGGTGCACACACTTACACTCAGGCACACACACATACACATTTAAAAAAATCTTAAAAAAAAAGAGAGGATCAAATGAAATGCTCTGTGTGGGCTTTTACATCTAACTGGGAGGATGTGTTCCTGCTTGTCTTGTTCAGTGAAAGAGGGAACGCCCCCCATCTTTTTAACTATTTCCCCCATGGATAAATCTGAATTCTATAGGGATCAAGCTAAGTTTATCTTAGTTTCAGGTTTACACAACAGCCCAAACATTACCAGGTACTACAGTGATATCTCTTTTCTTAAAAGATAGTAATTATGAACTGGCTCTGAAATTTCCCTTGGTGGAAATTCTGGCAGGCTGTGTGGGGCTGCTTCCCTGGGAAACATGGAGACTACATAGTCATCCCCCATATCTGCGTGGGACACAATCCAAGCCTCCCATAGATGCCTGCATAGTACTGAGCCCCGTTTCTCCCTACATGTTTGCAGCATTGCTAGCCATTTTCCCTGCCATGTTGTATGTCCTGGTGCCTCCTTTATATCATGACTCTTGTGCTTTGGAACCAAGGTAATATAAGGGTTACTTGAACATGAGCAGTCTGTGATGGTCTGACAACCAAGCTGGCAGTTAAGTGATTAACGTGCTGGTAACATATACAACATGGATATACTGAAAGACAAGATGATTCGTGTCTAAGGTAGATGGGGGCAGGACAGTGTGATTTCATCATGCTCCTCACAATGCTGAGCCATTTCAGCGCTTGTGAATGATTTACTTCTAGAAGTGTCATTTAATGTTTGGACTGAAGGTGACCATGGAAGGTGGAGCCATGGGTAAGGAGAGATCACTGAATGTGCTGTTTCATTGCCTGGATTCATATGGATGGTTGTCTCTGTGTTTGTATGGCAGAGAAGAAAGGTGTAGGCAAAGGAAACAAATAGCTGTAGAGTGAGATACGGGAAAAGGACCTGGTTCCAGCAGGTCTCAAATTATGGCCAATTTTGCTTCATTTTTATCCCTAACCTTTTTCTTGTCTTGTAAATTTGAAGGAAATCTCAGATGTCAAAACCTTTTGGGAGGTGGGCGGGCTGTTGGAGATGGAACTTGTGTGTGTTTATCCTTGTATGTTCTGTTAAACAGCTCCACAGAATCTTAGTGCCCTTGCTAAACATAAAAATTCAAAGTAACTTCAATATTCACTCAGGACTGCGTATTTTCCTAAATGTCTTAGACTTTGGTTTAGATTCAGATAAGGTTAATGCACTACAGCTGATGTCTCGTCACTGATTTCCTACCAACTTCCTTATCTCCCTGACCACTGGAGTTCTCCTCCCCAACCCTTGCATTTCTATTTTGTTGAAGAAATGTCGATGTCTTAGTTTTCTGGGGACTCGACTCAGGCTCAGCTTTAGCAGGCTGGCTTGCTGCTGCTTCTCCAAAGAGCAGCAGTGCCTGCCTGTCCGTTATATCCTTTATTCATAAGCAGCAGTGAGGCCCATCATTCAGTTACTAATGGTGATATCCAACATTTCTTAAAAAAAGTTTATTATTTTTATGTGTATGAGTGTATTGCCTGCATGTAAGTGTACTTATGTCACACAAAGCCCACAAAGGCCAGAAGTGTCTCGGATCCCCTGGAACTGTAGTTACAGATGGTTGTTAGCCACCATGTGGGTGCTGGGAACTGAACCTGTGTCCTCCCCAAGAGCAGCCAGTGCTCTTTAACCACTGAGCCATCTCTCCAGTCCCTGACAGTCTTTTTAAAAAATTTTCTTCGACATTCCTTCTTAACAGCTGGGCTCTTGTGGTGCAGAATCTTCCCTTCTTACCCATTTTGCTATCTTGAGGGACAGTTTGTAGAGGAGCAGGCAGGAGAGATGCTGGATTCTTTTACTCAACAGTTTTGTAAAACAATAAATTGGCTCCGAGATACTCCAGAGGGAATGAAAAGTTCATAAAAAAAAAAAATTCTACTTAGTCTGTGTTTGTGTGCATAAGCATGACACAGCACATGTCGATGTCAGAGGACAACTTCTCCCTCCTTCCACCATGTCGGTTCCAGGGATCAAAACTCAGGTCATCAGGTTGGCTGCAGGCACCTCTACTTGCTCAGCCATCTTGGCAGCCCAAAAGTTCATTTGTTAAAGAATCATGAAGCTATGGACTTTGAAATGCTCTAATTCATTTAATTTTATCCTGATGCTCCAGGTGCACTGAAGTTTTTTTTTTTCTTTTTTTAAACAACAGTTCCTGTTCATCACAAGAGAGTTGCTAGATTGCTACTGGACAGTTGCTACTGGACCCTGTCAGGAAAAGTATTAGATTTTATTCAGGTCCCCATGCTCACGAGGAGCCTGCCTCCTGTGAAATCAAAGGGGGGACATTTCTGGAGAGAACAAGACTCAGAAAAGCAAAGCATTTTGAAGCTGGGACTACATGGTATCAAAGTTTTAACAAAAACAAAAAACTAAATTTTTAAAATATTTTATTATTTTTATTTTATGTGTGTTGCTTGTATGTGGGTAGGTGCACCCGAGTCGTGCAATGCTCTTGGAGGTCAGAAGAAGGCGTCAGATCCCCTGGAACTGGAGTTATAGTTGTTAGCTGCCATATGGGTGCTGGGAATTGAACCCGGGTCCTCTGCAAGAGCAGTCAGTGCTCTTCACCATGGAACCATCTCTCCAGCCCTCAAAGCTAAATTATTTTTATATTATCTTGGAGGCAGTGATAACCAGAACACTCAGATGTGTCACAAGTGACCTGGAAGGCCAGCTGGGACTAGGAAGATGACAGACCTCAACAATTATTTATAGAGCAAGGGTAGGGCAGTACTCTGAGAACCCACGGGGGAAGAAGCAAATCCTTGTTCTGCAACAAGACAAAGGCCTACCAGGACGGAGTTGGATAGAGTGGAACCGAGTTCAGTGACGTGGGGGATACCCAGGCCTCTGAAGTTGGATGTGTATGTATGACCACACATTCTCCTGGGGAAAGGGTCCACGGCTTCTGCTAGTTTCAAGCTGTTCAGACACTAAGTTTAAACAGTACTGCATTTGAGAAACTATTAGCATACAAGGCCTTCTTGTAGTTGGTTCTGAAGGCTGCTCAGAAGTTATAACTCTTGGTTCAGAAGTTCTAGCCTTCTTCTTGACCTAGATTCATTTTCTAGTACATTCCTCTCCTGGGAACTACGCTCTATGGATAAAGCAGGTATTAGGCTTGTAGGTCAAAGTATCACCTTGCTTTGAATCTCTAGCACTCCTAAACTTAAATAATCAACAGTCAGTTTTGTCTCTAGAGACAGGCAGGCATGTCACCTGAGGAGCATGGTACAGACAAACTGGCCACTTCAGGCCCTTCCTCATCTCAGTCACCAAAGTTACAGATGGGAACCTTAACTAGGCGTTGTCTGATGCTTGTAAAATTATTAACATTATAGGTAGCAGACTTAGCTACCACAAAAGCAGCCAAACACCTATGGGGTCAGTGGACAATGTGCTGTAATCACAACTGCTAGATAACAGATTTCCCCCTATCCTAGTGTGCACTCACCCTGAAGGGAGCACCCAGCTCCTATGAAGAGGCTATCCGCTGCAAATATTAAACAAACCCATGGAAGAAAGAAATCACTCTTCAGTTTCAACTCTGAACAGATTAAAGTAGGTGGGCAGATATATGTTAAGACTTATTATTTATCATTTATTTTAGGGTGTTGGCTAGACAGCCACATTATCAGAATTCCTAGGAAGGAACATTTGAAAACATACAGGATCAGAGCTGGGCATAGTGGCACACACCTGTAGTGCCAGCACTTGGGAAGCAGAGGTAAGACAATCACCCCACATTCAAACCAGCAAGGGCTATCTATACAGTGAGTTCCAGGCCAGCTGGGGATATACAGCAAAACCCTGTTTCATTACATTGCTTGTATGAAAATGGCCTTATCACAATGTATCACAAGGTCAATCCTCTGCTTCCTTTCAAGATCTAGATCCAATGAAACAGTGTGAGGGAAGGTTAGGGAGTGAGGCCTCGTCACCTTTATTTTCTAAGCGTCCCTGGTGACTGTGATGCCCAAACAAGTTTAGAGAAGAGACACACAGCTAGACTCCCTGTTCCCATATTACTGTTTCTTATTTTCTCTCGAGGGAATCAAAGCCAGATGGTTTCAGCTAAAACATCATTCCATTCGCATCTGAATCACTTGCTTCTGTTAATTCTGGGAGTGGACAAGGCCATCATGGGAGGATTAACTTCAGACAGGACTGGTAATCTTGCGCTCTGGGTTGCAGACTGCAAGTGTTGGTGAAAGGGACACGTCTGAATTTGAATCTCCTGACTGAGACACCTGTACCAGAATCTAAAGCTAAACGAATTAGTGTGGATGCTTTGCTACCTACTGCATCTAGAAAGTGGCCAACTGGTCAGTTGTCACCCACCCAATGCCTATTTCTGACTGCACTGTGCTCTTAAAAGATCATGTAAGACTCAGCCAGGACTGGTGGCGCACATTTTGGTGTCTTTTTTTTGTTGTTGGTTGTTTTTTGACAGGGCCTCCCTAGTCACAGCCCACCTGCAAGTCACAATGTGAACCAGGGTGGCCTCGATCTCACAGAGATCCACCTGCTTCCACCTCCTGAGGGATGGGATTAAGGCGGTGGTGTGCATTTTTAATCCCAGCACTGAGGAGGCAGAGGCGGTGGAGGCCAACCTGGTTTGTAGAGCGAGTTCCAGGCCAGCTGGGAGTACAGGGGGGGGACCCTGCCTCAAAAAGAAAAAAAAGATTATATAAGGCTCAGAAGATGGAACCTGACTGAACTTTACTTACTCATCAATTATTTGTGATGTTCCTAACTCTTGTAAGGTTTGCCATGATGCACCCCTCTGGTATACCATTGTGTTCCGGCAGACGCCCCTCGAAACATCCGCCAGGCAAGAAACACTCAGGGTGATTATGTGTGTGCTTCTTTTTAATTGTATAATTCATTTATACAAAGAAATCGTTTGATTGATCTATTTACAGCCTTTTCCAATTCTCATTCTCACCGGCCGGTATTTCACGTAATGGTTAACACTGACTTGACCACCATTATAACCCTGGGGTGGCGCGGAGCATTAGCCCTCCTTCCCCTCCCCTTTAAAGAGTAGAATCCCATTTTAAACAGAAACATTTTGAAGTTAAGAATCACCACCCCTTTTTCTGTCTTATGAAGAAATCCAACCGAAATTAATCTACTGTGGTCGAATTTCACTGCATCTTTTCAAATTTGGCATTTGCAGGTATTACAAACCAAAGCAAGCACAGTTCCCATCTCCTCTGGCCCTCTACAACTTACCCCAGACCCTCGAGTTGGACTTTTTCTGTCTCTTTCCACACTCTGGTGGCAGACACTTTCACTTTAGATGAACTACTTTCTTCTCCCTCTTCTTCCACTATCCCAGTCACCTGCCTTCCCTCTTACTTTTCAGACAACACTTCAACTTTAACCCAGATCCTTAAAGTGGTTTTCTTTCAGTAGTCTAGAATAAACTGTCATTTCCTGGGTCTTCAGCACTCTGACATGCTGTACTGTAAAAACGGCATTTTTCTGAATTGGCTCAAAACAGTATGGCTTGCTTTCACTTGGTAAAGAATATGATTAAAAAAAACCCCCACATACATATATATATATACACACATACACACACACATACAAACACACACATTTTTAATTGAGAAGAAAAACTTTAAGGACATGCCAATTTAAAAAGGCATCAAAGTAAAAAAATAAAAGCAAATACTAAAAACTACTTTACAATAAAAAAATTAAATATCTGGCAGAATAAATGGATGAAAAATGAGGAATGTGCAGGGAAAAACCAACATAAAGCATTCCAGTTGACAAAAATGGAAAACTCACAGGTTTTGTGGTTTGTTTTCCTTGACAGCTTCAATGTAAATATTTAAATATTTCAAACCTAAAAATCTTCCACATATGTTGTAGTTGTCATCAAAACTTCAAATTCTTCACACCAAGTTTTAACAAAGAACACTGGCAGAATTTCAGTATTTGCAAAACCCCAAGTTTTGGCAAATACGGTAAGCATCACATTTGGTTGATAATGGGGAGCCATAACGAATCTAGAGAGAACCCATTCATACATATTTCATGCGATTAAAAATACCAGGTTTGCACGATCTAAATCCAAGGAAATGTCCTTTTTAAAAGTCTGTGATTTAACAGTAATCTGTGTATCTTTAGCTGCCATTGAGGCGGGGGAAGAGGGAGAGGGAGAGAGGAGAGAGGAGAGAGAGGAGAGGAGAGGGAGGGAGGGAGAGAGAAAGAGAGAGAGAGAGAGCCCCAAACCATTGAACATGTTACAACTGGGTACAGAGTAACCCTAGGCTGCTGCTCCATTACAAGGAAAAAACTGTACAAATGTATAAATAACTTTTACACCAGAGTCTCTTTCCTCTTGCTACCTAACTGTACTTTGTCCCGTGCTCTTCGGAAGCCGGCCTGTGCTCGCTGCACCTTCACGCTCCCGGCAGCCTGTACAGTGGAGCCACACTCTGAGGCGTTTTCATCCTCTACCTGCAGAACACTGGACACGACAGACGCCCTCCGAGGGGCTCCGCGGTCCCCCGCAGGGGGCTTGTTCTCACACTCTCCGGGGAGCTCTGCTGAGCCCTGGAGCTCTGGGGGGCTGGCGGCCTGCTGGAAAGGGGCGATGGCTGCGCGGATGCAGCCGCACCACTGCTGCTTATGGAACACGTCGTTGGCTTGCAGAGTGTGGGACTGGCCAGGGGAGGGGTCTTGGAAACGGACTCTAAAGATGTTTTTAGCTGAAAAAAACAGAAAAACCAAAACGAAACAGACTAAGAACGTGAACATACAATCTTAAGAAAAGGCTGGCTGGCATCTGTGACATGCTCTGTCACGGAGGGCAGGACTTCCTGACCAGCTGTGTGCACCAAGAACAGGGTGGGAAATGATTTGATTTAAGTCTTAAAGGGTAAGCCTAACTGCATTTTTATACGTTTTTTTTTTTTTTTTTTTTCTTGAGATGGGGGTCTCACTTACTGCCCAGGTCGGCTTTGAACCTGTGGCACTCCTGCCTCAGCCCCTTCCTCCCTTCTTTAATCGTTTTCAAGCTTCTATTTTTACCTTTGTCCGAGTTGCCGAAAGCCCCTCGGAAGGAGCCGCCCATGCGCACGTCCCCGTCCTGCAGGTCTTCCAGCACCAGCTCCCGGACTGGGATCGGCTGCCGGTATACCTGGTACGAGTGCCGCTCATTTCGGGTAACAGGCCGGGTCAAAACCAGGATGTCTTGAAACAGGAAAATGTACAGTTTCTGGAGAAATGGGGAAAAAAACCTTCCTAAATAAGGGGCTCAATTGTTAAAGAACTAGATTTGACCTTTAGATTTCCTTTTATTGGCTTCATAAAAGAGTGATTTTAAGGCTATAAAGGTTTTACTCAGAACATTCAATCTCAGGCTACAGAAAGCTTTTTTCTGTTCTTTAATTGGGCGGTTCCACCAGGTTAGCCAACAGTCGAGTTAACATTATGCATCTCAAAGACCTGACTATCAGTAGAGCCATTTCAAACTCCAGTATTGTATGTCAGTTTTCTATGCAAGGATTCAAATGCATGCTGGTAAAATGTTCATGGTTCCATTGTCTACACAAACCAAAGCCTTTATGGAACAATTAGGTGTAGTGATGGATATCAGACGCCAGATTTCAACTTTCTAAAACAACCTCCAACTTATAAATTGAGCTTCTGAAAAAGCACATATGAAAGAAAAATACCATTCCAACAGGGTCTTTTGTAATTAATATTTAAAAATGCAAAAATGGCTTCCATCCAATCTGCTGCTGAACTTGAGCAGTGCTAAGAACTATTTCCACAACTATAAAATACTTCAAAAATTTCTTTAGAGGGGTTATGTTTTTGAACATGGAACTTAGAAAGGAAACCCTAACCAAATAAATTGATTTACACTTTGCAACTGGAATATCAAGTATTCTTGTCTGAGGCACTTAGATCATTTGATTTAAGCTACAGAAACCAAATGCTTACTTTAGCAAAGCTGGGAACACAAACAAGCTATAACCTTACTGAGATCTGCCACAGGTTTATCTTTGCAAATCTGTTCCCCACTCTGTGCAGGGCAGTGAGCCTGCTTCTCATTCTGTGCAGGGCAGTGAGCCTGCTCCTCACTCTGTGCAGGGCAGTGAGCCTCCTCCCCACTCTGTGCAGGGCAGTGAGCCTGCTCCCCACTGGTGTCATGTGTACTCACCTGGCC